ATACGATGATACGCACGCTGAACGGTGATACGATACGAAGATACGCAACAAATGGATACGCACCTTCAATGTTTATCCTAACGTTCAAATAATCATTCTAATGAGATAATTGCTTAAACACGCATTCATTCCAACACAGGAAATAATTATGGTATGCTCAACATTGAAATTTTCATATTTATCGAACGAAAAAAAGAAGGAGTAACTAGTTGTTTATCTTTTATTCGTTGTTCGAAATTCGCCGTTACCAATTTTGCCCTTTTGTGTTCTGGACTCGTCGGCACGGTTAACAATTAAACGAATTATTGACGTGTCACGGTCGAACAGCGAATCTCAGTTGGAGTGTGGTCAACAATTTTGAAAAAGAAAATTTCAGGAAACGCGCAACAAGTTTCCCACGTTTGCCAGGAGCGCGGTCAGATGTTGAGATTGGCGAAGGGCGGGGGTCGAAAATAACTAAAGCCACGAGGAAAGGAGACCGATTCGACGTCTCTTTCGATTAGGAGGGGGTGGTTCGCTCTCGCTGGTGCTCCGGTGCTTTCGCTTTTCCGAGTCCAGTGTGTTTCGCCATCCGAGAAACCCGCGTACGTTGCGTGTCAAACGCAAAGGTAGGTGTTCGTCATTTTGTGCTCGTCTTGTCTTCACGTTGCACGCGCGTCCAGATTCTTCGTCATTGTGTCTTCTTCGGGGATATTTTTCACGCGTGTGTTGCATATCTTGCATCTTCTTTTCGACGTTAGTTCACAATTACACACCATTATTCTTATTATAGTACTGATCTTTGTACTAGTTGAAACAGAATCACTTTTATGTCGAGTTTGATAATTATTGCGGGAGCAAGTGGAAGAATATTCTGTTTAATTAAAATTTGTACACCCTTACTTTACTGCGAGTTTTTATTTGTTGTTCCTTCTTCGATTTGATTCTTGATAGAAGTAAGTTTCAATAAATAAATTATACATTTTTTAAATGAAAAGTTGTTTGCTTCCGGAATTTTGATCGAATATCTCGATGTAAACACAAATTGTTTTCATACTTCAACTACAGGAAAGACGGAATTTCGTTTGTGTACGTTTATTTCCGAGCGCTTTTGGATAAGGTTTAGTGTGTGGCCTTTTCCTGTCTCGTTAGAAAAAAAATATTTTCGTGCTGCTAGTGTCATTTATTGAGAAGTCAAACGCGTGACATAAAAATAGGAATATAATATAAAGTGAAAGATTATTCTTAAATATACTCTTGACTCCCACCGTTAATATTTTTATTGCTGTTGGTAATTATTACTTTTTAAGAAGAAGAAGAAATAAGATTCGAAGATAAATATACAAATATCATGCCTTACAAACTTTTTACATCATAAAATTTTGTTGATTGTTTTGTGCATTCTCTTTAGTAATTCGTCAATTCTTTTTAATTTATCTTCTGTTGTGGAAGTAATGTAAAATAATAGGAAATAAACAGATTTGTACAAGCATATAAATTTCCAGTTGATAACACTTCAAAGTACACTGCAATTGTATCTCATTGAAGTCCGTTTGCGTTGGAATTTATCGTGGTTCTTAATATTTTCGGTTATAACCATGATGAATCACTCTGTCCACATAATTCTAACCAAACGATCCTACCTGACATCAAAGACAGAACGTTGTTCGCACATTCTTTATGCGATATTTATCTGCGTTTTGAATACATGACAGTTACCACGGTATAGGTACTGATACTATCATTTAAATTCACTACAACTTCATTTAAATTCACATTATCCTATAAATATTTAATATTTTTCTTTTGTATAAGGTTTTTCTTGTTAGTTAAAAGATACTTGATTAAAACTTGATTGCTATTCGTTAGTTATTCCCAAATATAATGGGTCATATCAGGCCCGAATTCAAATTTTTGAGGAGGGGGGGGGGGCAAAAAAGTTTGGTAATAAAACATACAAAAAAAGTACTAAAAATAGCAATTTAATCTAAATAAAATTAAATAACATTTACTCATAACGAACAATGCTTCGTTATATTTTAATAATTTCGGTCTAATTTATTTTTACATTTAGTGCGATTTCTAATTACTTCAAAAAGGGAAGCAGTAAGGAAAATTTCATTCAATTATTTTTTGACATAAATGGAAGGCTTGGATCAGGTCCCCCTGCAAAGTGGGGCCCGGGTCGCAGCCCCTTAGATCCCCTTGATTCGGCGCTGGTTCGTATCCAAATGTTCAAAATGACTTTTCTTTTAATATACATATGAATAAAAAATCACACATTTCTCACTCGTTTGCTTTGACCCAAATGGTTTACTATCGTCAAAAGTGGGCTAAATATTACTCAGTAAGATAGGTGAGAATTTGGTCAAGTAAATAATTACTTCAGTACACTTATACTCAGTGAATTTCTTTTTGTTCATGTAATATGTCGTTAAACTTTGTGAGCATAGTTGAATAAATAATGAGTAAAAAGTTCCAATGACATTTAGTTATTATTCGAAACTTTTTATCTAGCTACATGCTGATGCAAATTTCAACAAATTGTGGTTATCATACATGCAAATATTTGTATTAAACGCGAGGAGATAAGAAGCACGTTTCGGTTGTTTCGTTACTGTAATTCCAGTGTCTTCAACAAATTCTTCTTTTTAAAGTATTATAATAGCCATCAATGCTTATAACTAGAGTAAAAAATATACATAAGTGAACAACACCTGTAAGATATTAAACAAAAAAATGAGGAAATAATATATAAATCATATCACAACAGATATACACTGAACATGAATCTCATAGAAATTATAAATCTACATGTAATAGTCTTACCAAGAGAATTAGAAAACGTTGTAATGTTCAGCTAGAGGAATATTCAGGCCACTATTACTGTAAAATCGGTAAATATAAAACAAAATATCCACAAACCTACCTATCCATTTAGATATTTTCTGTCGTACCTTTTCAAGCACCACGTTTTGTTCACTTTATCTGCATATTTTGATGAATGATCAATGATTTATGTAGCAGTATAAAATGTGTGACATATTTATTAAATAATAAACAGTATTATAATAAGAAAAATATTACAAGAGTCGTTGATATACAGGGTATAGATAACGTTCGCCACGATTTATCGAACATTTCCGATAATAATCAGTCGAAAATATTTTATGAACAAAAATTAGTGAGTACTCAATCGCCAACAGATTACAAAAAACCTTTTCTTCCATAAAAAATCATGTTCACTTTTTTCAAATTGCCCCACATAATTTTTTCTATCCCTTATTATAGGTAGCGTCGAGACAAATTCTGGGATGTCGTATAAAGTTATTTTTCTGAAACAATTTACTTAGGAAATCATTCTTAAATGTAGTAAGATCTTTTATTAACGCCCGAGTCAACTATGACCGTGCATAAATACCGTCAAGGTGCAGTTGGAACGTTTATTAGTTGTTCAATAAGAATATCATTACGCACCTTGAACAAGAGGTTAAGTTGATGACCAGTTTGTTCACTGTTTACATTCAGTTACTAAGTATCAGTTAACATTTAAGAACAGTTCTTTAATTATTAAAACATTTCGCAAATTATTAAAACAAAAAATCAACTTTGTATTATATGACTGAATTTGTCTCGGTGTCACAGTATAGTATCGAATAGAAAAAATGATATGATGCCATTTCAAAAAGTGAAGGTGACCTTGATTTTTTGTTAAAGAAAAGTTTTTTGCCAATTTCATAACATTCTTTTGTTTATATTGTCGAAAGTGTCCGAAAAATCGTGGCGACGATGAACACTCTGTATATTTTACTGTAGTTTAGACGGATATGATATAGTTAACGGGAACTTTCTGGATTCTCTGTATATTTCGACGCTCCATAAGCGTCGAATCATAGGAAATTTATTTTCCTTCAACCGTACGTTGTATTTTCACGGGAATAGCTGCCTCCCCTCTCCCGAGCTCCACTTCCGCTTAAAAAAAACCGCCAGTGAAGCGCGATTATGAAATCCGTCGGATGTGTATGTGTCAGTAATTGTGTATCCAGTTACGTTACGATTGGCTCGTAACACTTGTACGCTGTTCAATAAATTGTTGCATTACTATTCCTTGAATTAAAATTGGTCTAAGCTAAAACAGAATCTAGGAAATATACTTACATGTTTCTTGATCGTTTATATGTGAACTACTGGTGTCAAATTAATTTACAAGTTTCTCTGATGAAGAATACAATTAAAAATTAAAATCTTAGTATGGGCCAAATTAACGCGAACATGAAGGTTAGTGCGATCATTGGTAACTGTCGTCTGAAATGCATATTGACCTTCCCATTAGAGGTGCTATCTACCTTGGATGATCCACTTCGGGATTAAGCATTATTCGAGTAAATTTTTATATTTCTATAAAACGTATAGAAAAAGGTAAATACTATTTAATAAATAGATTTCACTTTTAAAGAATCAAATACGAATATTATCATGGTTTTGGTATAGTCTCAATTATAGTGGAGTTATTGAAAGCTACTGAAAATCTAATCAATCTATTAAACAGTAATGATATTAGTTGAAGTCATTTATTGAAAAATTGATACTTTATGGTATATTCAAAATTGATAGATGTAAATGTGAAAATTAATATATTGATTTTGTTGTATTTACAGAGTGATGCGTAATTCGTGGTAGAAGTGAAGAAGGAAACATTTATTCGTGTAAAGATAAATAAAAATTGCGACATAAAGATTTTCTATGTGGATATTATATCATTTTCCAGAAAATCAATTTTAAGACTCTGTTAGATATACACGTGATGCACTACTGGATCATTTATCTCATACTTCTAATTATTGCAGAATATTTTTATTCGCCTTAAAACTTATAGATGTTGTTAAAAGTATGCTGTTATTAATTTTTCACAAAAATTAGGTATAAACTTAGGCCGACCAAATGAAAGCTTTTAATCGTTATTTGACTTGTACTAAAACTTCTTCCAATGACAGCCATCTTTATTATGTAAATAGTGAAACCAATGGATAATCTGTTGACTATTAAAAAAGTCGAAATATTTACCCAAACATTAACAGAACAATCTTATTGAAGATGCACTAGACACAAAAATTCAAGAGACTGACTCACAAGTTACGAATGATATTCGATCATCGCTTTCAACACCTTTACAACTGAATATGATGCAATTGGCATAAAGCGGCAGCAAAACATTGCACTTCGATGTGAACAAATACGCTCATTTCACTGCCACTGGCCCTGCAAATACATACTCCGTATTGGTCTATGGGTTCCTTAATATGATGTTCTTAATTAATAGTTACATACATTTTAATCGATACAAAATATATATTTTTAATACGTTCATTACTAATTAACTTGTTAAAAGATAACACATTGAGTCTAAAAATTAATGAATTTTTTTACATTAATTTTGATAGATGAACACCTTGTGATAAGTCAGCAACTCTGATGATTTTATGTGGGAAATAAATTGAAAATGTCCAAGCAAAGGATGCTATTATGAAGCTTAGACCTGAAAAAAATACAGTTTAACGATTTATTACGAGTGTATACCGAAGCATCATTTACATCAGCGTACATTTATTTATGGTTATTTCTACGTATG